CCACCCCCCCCCCCCCTTCAAAATCAAAACTAAGCAGAAAAATACCAGATTCCTCACTTTCTCAGCAGCTAAACAGACAAGAGAATGAGCAAGAAGATCACCTTTTGCAGGACCAGGAATACATGGGAGCCATGCCTCTGCCTCTAAGAACATTAAGCCTCTCAATAACATCTACAAAGACAAACAAACAAAGATTCTTCAAAACCCACCAGACAAAACCCAAACTTTGCTCTCGCTCCAATGACTTTTTTCGATTTACCTCTGAGATACAAACCATCCGGGGAAGAGAGCGGGACCTCCATGAAATGGGGATGCTCAAGCTGACGATTCCTGCAGAGGTAATAAACAACGGGAACCTTCTTAACCTTCTGCTGGTACTTTGGCGATTTCTCCGTCCAAACCTTAGCCCTCTCGGGGCTCACTTGCAGCTTGCATTTCTTCATCCTCCCCTCCATCCCCGCATCCAAAAACCCTAGTTACTCCAGGCCTTCGGAGCAGTGTATCACTTTGCCCAATTTCGGAGAAATTACCAAAAATAGCATGAATCCGATTTCTCACAATGAATCAGATCCGTTACCACGTTTCTCGGAGAATCTGGAGCAAAATGATAAAACCGGGTGAAGCTATGAATTCCGGAGAAAAGAAGGATCGACGGCGCCGGAGATCCAATCGGCGTTTCGTGTTTGAGCGTCGGAACTTACCAGCTCAAGGAAGGGGGAGGGGAGAGAGAGAGAGATGACGGAGCTATGAGAGTAGAGGAAAAAGAAGAAGAAGAAGAAAGGAGATGGATTTGCGGAGAGATTGGCGCTTCTTCTGCATTAAATTCAGTTTCGGAAAGAGACCCGAAGAACAGAGGAGAGACAGAGAGATGACAGAAACAGGAGAGAGAGAGAGAGAGAGAGACTTCCCTTGTTTTCTGATTTCTTTTAATTGCTTTCTTTATGAAAAACAAAAGTTTGAAATCACCGTATTAGCATCATTAATTTTGATTTTTATTTCGAAATTTTTATTTTTTAATAACTATAAAGTTTTGTTCTTTTGGTAAATGATAATAGGTTTATTATTCGATTTGATAGTTTTATCATTCGATTTCTAAAAACAAACTTACAAACATAGTTGAAGGGTCTTTTTTCTCGGAAAACAAGGGAATTATTGTTTTAGATTATTTCATAATTTTTTTTAAAAAATAAAATAAAAATCATATATACCCTTATTTATTGATAAAATAATGTTATTATTAATAATTTATTATAATTTAATAGGGATAAAATTGGAAACTATGGTAAAAAAATGTGTTGAAATGTAAAATGACAAATATTTTGAAATATGGAAAATAATTTAAAACTACAAATATTTAGTAAACTACAGAATCTTTATTGGAATCAACTTTTTCTGAATTTGTTAAATCTATTGAGATAATAATGGACTTTTTAAATACCGATCATATTTATTGATTTGTTGGTTTGGCGGATTCGAAAACCAAAGAATGGATGGTTGGATTTTTGTCGGCTTGCTAATGGGGTTTTGGTTGCGTTTCTCTCCCCATTGTTAACTTTCACGTCCGCTTTTTATACTCATCATAAAATCACAAGTAGAGGGAGGCTGTAGAGCTAACCAAAATTGCCTGCGAATTTCCGATTTTATTTAAATTTAAATCTACAGATATCCACAAATTCAAATCCAAATTTGGATAACATAAATTTTTAAAAAACCAATATCAACATATATGCGATTAGTTTTGTAATTATAACCTTATATATTTATAATTTTTTAAAAAATATAATTGTTTTGAACATACAATTTTTCATTTCTCAACAGTACTAAACTCATTTTTGTCCTGCTTTCACCAACTCTCTCCTTCTCATATTTTTTATTAACATTTTTATTTTTTTTAAATTTTTATATAACATATTATTATTTTTTTATTAAATAAACTCAAATACGAATATCACAAATAACTAACTTTTATTTCGTATACTCGTTTTCAAATATCCGTAACCTTTGAATCCAAATATACATCTTAAAATGAAATATCCGAACATTCGACCCGTTACCATATCTATTTATGAGAATAATCTCACATAAATAAATATTAAATATCTTTTCAGAATAATTAATTAAATATGTTTGTTTTGGGTGTTAACCACAAATTTGTAAGTTTGGTAGGATTCCTCAATCTTATATTTTACTCATGTATATATTATGATTATTTAGGTTTGAACATAGAAATATAATATAATTGAATTAAATAATATATATATATATATATATATTGGGTGCTCAAATCAATATAAAATCAATTATATTTGATTTTTATAAATTAAATTAGATTAATTCAAAACTAAAAATAAATAAGAAATGAATTACAATTTTTATATTTTTCTCCATCAAAATCAAACCACAAAACTAAAACCGGATCAATTGAAATATTTTGAAATTTTTATTAATTAGTCTATCTAACGGATCATCATCATTTTCATCTATCTTGTTTAATTTATTTTTTTATTAAATTTAAAAATATAATAATATAATTTGAATATACTCGCCAGAATTTACATATATATTACACTTTTTTAGTAAAACAATATAATAATATAGAATTCACAGGTATAAATTTTTGAATATTTTTTAATGGAAGGGAAATAATTATTTTAATAGATATGTAGGAGATTTGGTTCTTGCTCACCGTGTGTCTAGAAGATAGAGATGGAGATGGTCGAGACAATTTCAAAATTTCACAAATATAATAACACTAAGAAAACTCAAAGCAAATGTATTTGCTTTTCTCTTTGTTGGTTGGAAAGCTGAAAACGGAATCAAACGTCGTGCATGAAGATGCTTCTAAATTTCTAATGCGTATACATACGTGCATGGATTTATTTATTTTTTTAAAAACTCAATAAAGCCATTAAATCTAAAATAAAATAAAAGAAAAAGAAAAAGGTCGTATATATGCAAATTCCATTTTTAAATTCAAAAAAGCTTTTGGGATTGAGACTTGTATGTAATCCTAGAATTTCCCTCGGTGCCATTTATTGGATTCTTTAACATGTACGTATGCAATAGACATTTAATATCTCACAGAAGAAACAACTACTAACTCTACCCAATTTAACCAACGACAATTCAACTATCTACACTATAGTGTTGTTATATATATATATATATATATGTATATTTCAGTTTATAGAGTGTAATTATAATATATCTCCTCTATATGATAACATGTTAATAGAAGATGGCGCTTAATAATATGTTTTTGAGTAATTTCAAGGATTCCGAGACTCGACTATATCCCCAATTTGAATTACTAGGGGATCGCTTGTTTTGTGATTGTTTGTTCTCATCATATATATTTTTTTTGGTGAAGATATTCTTGTGGTATTAAAAACGTTGTCCTCAAATAAAATTCTATAAAATTTTAGGGGAGCATTTTTCAAAATTTAATTATTACTATTAATTACAGGTATTTATAGAAAAATAAATATAAATAAATTTGAGAAAATATGTGTTGTTCAACATTTATTTGTTTTGAAAAATTATTATTCCGATAAATTTTTAAATGTAATTACTATAAATCATTATTATTATTATCGAAGAAATAAATGAATATAAAATTATAAATAATAATTACATTATAAATTATACTTTATTATTAGCTTCTTATTAATTAAAATTCAATTTAAAAAATTAATTAAAATATTTTATTTAAAAATTAAAATCGATTATACTTATGATAAGAAATGGATTGCTTTCAAAAAGTTTTTATTATTATCATTAATATATAAAATGTACAGGCCTCTTGAGACGCCTTGAATATATATATATATATATATATATACATATATATATATATATATATTAGGGTTCTGGTGTAGTTTTGTGGATCATGGGTTTCCCATTCACGAGCTTAAGGCCCATCAAGGGACATAAGAGGTTGGGTTTTGACTTTGTCATGGTTACATGCTTGCCTGTTGTTCGAAAATTAATAAAATAAAATAGATGATCACGAATAAGATCCCAATTCGGGTTTAGGGTTCAAGGTTGTTAAATTATTTTTAGATTCGTCTTAAAAAAATCGCAACCAATTTTTATATTAAATTCAATTTTACTAATAAAATATTTTAAAAAAAATTATTATTTTTACTGGATTATTTTATATTTATTTTTTTGGATTTTTAAAAATTATATTCATTTAATTATTTGAATGAATTATATACAAATTACAAAATGAGATTGGTCATCCCTAATCGCGAACTATCATCAATATGATCAATTTGTAAACTTAAATAAATGCATTTATTAATTTATATCTAACACTAACCTAGGTTAGTGTAAACACAGAAAAGAATTATGCAAATAAAAATTATAAAATACACGCATAGAAAGAAAGCCCTATTAACGTGTATAAATAAGATCATTAATTTTTACCAAAAAAATAAAATCGTTAATCGTGAGACCAATTAATACTAAAATCGAAAAAAAAAAATACACACAAAACCGGCGAATTATGGCCAAGTAATTGGAGTGGAGACTCCCGCCAGTTCCTTCTTCCGCTGACAATCGTCAAAATTCCTAGAACCCTAATTGATCTCTCTTGTATTCTTCTTCTTCTTCTTCGTCGTCGTTAGGGGTTTCTTGTTCGTTGTGGATGATAGCTGCTCGATCATGCATTCACTTTCGCTGCATATGTCCTCTCCCTAAAACCCTACCTTTTCCCTTCTCCCTCATTTCGCCTTCTTCTCGCCGCCACTTTCTCTCCCTGAACCTTAGCTCGACTCGCAAAACCATGTCTTCTTCCTCCCGCCCTTCCGCATTTGACGCGCTCATGTCCAATGCACGCGCCGCCGCGGCTAAGAAGAAGACGACGCCTCAACCCTCCACTTCGTCTCGCTCGCCGAAGAAACGCAAAGCTGAGAATGCCCAACCCACCGATCCGGCGAAAGCCAGTGTTTCTGAATCTGTAGTCGCCAAGTCGGAGAATTCGAGAGGGCCCATAACGGATTCCACGAAACTCAGTTCGAATTCGTCGCCGATTGCGGATGACTCAAAGAATGAGGGGAAAAAGTTGAAGGTGCTGAGCCAAGCGGAGAAAATTACTGAATTGAAGAGTAAAATTGGATTGTTGAAGAAGAAGACAAGTGATTTCGATCCGAAAGCAGTGTCTTGTTGGGAGAAGGGAGAGAGAGTCCCGTTTCTTTTTCTTTGCCTGGCTTTTGATATGATATCACATGAAACCGGTCGGATTGTGATCACTGATATTCTGTGTAACATGTTGAGAACTGTAATTGCGACCACTCCGGAAGATTTGGTGGCAACTGTTTCTCTCTCGGCCAATGAGATTGCTCCTGCTCATGAGGGTTTGGAGTTGGGAATCGGGGATGCTTCCATTAAGAAGGCACTTGCCGAAGCATTTGGCAGAACAGAGAAGCAGGTTGATAAGGAGTATAAGGTAAAAAGTTGTCTTATTTTCTCCTTTGGTGTTATTCTTACTGGTTTCCTTAATTTAAATGAGGTTTTGGAAGGGTTTCTCGTGGGGGTTATGTTTGCTTTTTGCCTAACATTTGTGTTCTAACCATTTGCCTTGCTATATTGGTTTATAATTATCCTTTCTGTTTTCACTGGAGGGCTTTTGATGTATCTTTCGCAGGTTTTCGGATGCATCTTTCGTGGGTTTCCTGATCGGAAGCTTACTTTTTTTTCAAAAATTTTTAATGAGAAGTAAAACTGCAGAACTGCTAGAAGGCTCTAAGAGTGATATTGGAACTAGAAGGTTAATTAGTTGTTTACTCTATTGCCAATTCATTTTACAGGAGCTGGGAGATTTGGGGCTGGTAGCAAAAGCAAGCCGGTCGTCTCAATCTATGATGCGGAAGCCTGAACCATTGACGATTGTCAAGGTCTTCGATACATTTCGACTAATTGCAAAGGTTGTCAAAATCATTAGTCTTTAGCTTTCGAGTGGTAGAAATTTTATTATACCGTTACACGCTGTTTGCTTGTGGGATTAGGGAGTCAGTATAGTTACATTGCAATGTTGATCATAACAGGAAGCTGGAAAAGATAGTCAGGAGAAGAAAAAGAACCGTATGAAGGCACTTCTTGTGGCTGCAACAGACTGTGAACCTCAATATTTAACTCGTCTACTTCAGGTATTCTGATCATTAAGCGCAATATCTTTTGTCCATTTCTTTGTGTTCCTTAGTTTCCCGTGTCCGATGTGCTCTGTAGGCGAAACTGCGTATAGGGTTCTCAGTTCAGACTCTCTTAGCTGCCCTGGGACAAGCAGCAGTATACAATGAAGAGCATTCAAAGCCGCCCCCGAATATCCAGTCTCCTTTAGAAGAGGTTTGTTTTTCTTTCTTCCAAGTTGATATTGGAAGTCTTTCTGTTGTACCACAAGTGTCATTAGATGTGTCGGACTTTGTGGTTTCCGTTGAAAGTGTCTAACGTTTGGATTTCCTGCTCGGAAAGCTGTGCTCGCTAGGATTTTTCTATCTTTGTCTAACACATCGTCACATTCTGCTCGGTAGAATCTTGGTTACTTTGTAGAATTCAAAGATGTTAAATGTCCTCCTTTGCATTTGTTTTAATCTTTTTTCTTTCTTTCTCTCTCAAGTTTTAAGTAGTTTTTATGTACTTTTACATTTTTTTGTGTAAACAACCTTCTGCCTGTACGCCCTTGTAGGCTGCGAAGATAGTTAAACAAGTATACACCGTGCTTCCTGTCTATGACAAGATTGTTCCTGCTCTTCTTAGTGGTGGTATATGGAATCTTCCAAAGACTTGCAACTTTACATTGGGTGTTCCAATTGGACCCATGCTTGCAAAACCAACGAAAGGGGTTGCAGAGATACTAAATAAATTCCAGGACATTGTTTTTACATGTGAATACAAGTACGATGGAGAACGTGCCCAGGTGATATATCCTTTTTCTACTTTATTCCATCTTTTATGGATTCTATTCCTCTACCAGCATTGTTTATATATAGTTTCTCTGTTTGTGTTTATGTGATTATAAATTCAATCAATTTATGCAGATACATTACATGGAAGATGGTTCTTTTGAGATATATAGTCGAAATGCTGAAAGAAATACTGGAAAGTTTCCCGATGTTGCTCTTGCATTGTCAAGGTAGTCTTGTGGTGTAGCTGATTGAAACTGGGAACAATGTAGCCATCGTTTTACTGAGGTTGAATGTTTTCTGAATGCAGATTAAAGAAGCCCTCTTTGAAATCATTTGTTTTGGATTGTGAGCTTGTTGCTTACGATAGAGAGAAGAAGAAAATTCTTCCTTTCCAGGTAACTCTAAACCAAATTGCAAGGTCCTTGTTCACAGCAATCTTAAGTTCCATCCATTCATTTCAAGGAGAAGAGGTGGTTTCTCTGTAGCTCTATAGTATTATAGTTGGGTGCCAATGATCTCTGCACAAGGTTTTCTTCTTTTTGGCCAACGGAAACAATCAATGTGTTACTATGTTGTCTTAGCTCTCCAGTCCACTTTATCAAAGGATATGAAAATTTCATTTACCAGTTATCAATTGCTTTTATTACACACTGTCACTCAGAAAAAGCTAGATTGTTGAAATATATCTCTCTTTACCCCCTCCAGATTCTCAGCACCCGAGCCCGTAAAAATGTGAGTGTCAATGATATCAAGGTTGATGTCTGCATCTTTGCATTCGACATGTTATATTTAAATGGCCAGCAGCTACTACAGGAGAATCTGAGCACTCGCCGAGAGGTGAGCTTTATCAGTAACAAACATGCAGATGTGTCTTTTCTTTTCTTTGACGAAGTAATATTGTGTGGAGTTGTATTCATGAATGTGGATTTTTCCTATAACAGAAGCTATACGATTCATTTGAGGAAGAACCTGGCTATTTTCAGTTTGCAACTGCTCTAACATCCAGTGACATTGAAGAAATACAGAAATTCCTTGATGCTGCTGTCGATTCGAGGTATATACAAGTGCTTCCTTCCTGCTATCGCTTAGAATTTTGGCTGCACAGATAGATCAGATATTTATAGTTGGAGATTCTGGTGGAGTTCTGCTGTCTGTTATTTTATACTGGAAAGTACCCTCTTCCTATACTAAGATAGGACTGTTAACAATTTGACCCATGCCTACGGAGATTTCCCATTTCTTGACTTTTTATTCAGATTGACTTTGGCCTTGTTATCTTCATGCTCTCCTATTTTTTTCATCAATCTGAGACCCTGTGCAGCTGTGAAGGTTTAATAATTAAAACAATGGACTTGGACGCTACCTATGAGCCTGCAAAGCGATCGAATAATTGGCTAAAACTGAAGAAAGATTATATGGACAGGCAAGAATCTTCTCGAATATTTTGCTACAACTTTCTAAACTGAGGAATCTTTCACTGACACTGTACTTATTACAGTATTGGTGACTCAGTGGATCTTGTACCCATTGGAGCTTTCCATGGAAGAGGCAAACGCACAGGTGAAAACTTTCACTTGGCTTAGGTGATACTAGCCCAGTTGAACTGACCATATGCTTAAACATTTGCCCTTTTCCTATTCTTAACAAAACTTTACATTTCCTTGCTAGGTGTCTATGGTGCATTTTTATTAGCTTGCTATGATACTGAAAAGGAAGAATACCAGAGCATCTGCAAGATTGGTAAGTCTTATTAATCCTGGGCTGTCATTTGGTAATCATATCACTCATATAGTTTCCAAATTTTCCATCTTCATTCTCTTTCATTGGCTTAGGTACTGGATTTTCTGAAGTGGTGCTTGAAGAACGATCCTCTAGTCTTCGTTCTAAAACAATTCCCGCCCCAAAGGTTGGAATGACTCTCTTCTTTCTGGTCCTCTGCGATTTGTTATCCTAAACGCCTCGTCTAAGTTTCTTGTTGATTTCAATACTTTTATAGCCGTACTATCGAGTTGGAGATACCCTCAATCCAGATGTCTGGTTTGAGCCAACTGAGGTAAGATTCTGTATACTTTTATTATTAACCATTTTTGGAATCTATGCAATTTTTTTTATTCTATCATCGTTGTCAAACTTTGTGTTCCCAATCTAATTCTCTACTTTCTTAAAGGTTTGGGAAGTCAAAGCTGCAGACTTGACAATAAGCCCTGTGCACCGTGCAGCCATTGGCATTGTGGATCCTGATAAGGTTTATAACACTCTTAAACCTTTCTCTTTTTTCTTTTGTTTTGCACGCATATGATGTTTGGTTCTGTTTTTTGATTTATAACTAAGTAGAAGTTATTCAAACTCAAAGGCAACCTTAAACCCAGTAGTTATTTTATCTGCTATTTGCAGCAATGATCCTCGCTTGTACTGTAAAACAGAAAACTTAACGTTATTTTTGCTGCAAGTGTACTAATTTGCTTTTTAGATATTTTATCTATTGACTGTTTCACGCCTTCCTTACAAAATAGGGAATATCTCTTCGATTTCCTCGTCTTGTGCGTGTACGTGAAGACAAGCAGCCGGAGGAAGCAACATCGTCTGAGCAGGTAAATCATTTTCTGCTGCTTTTCTTTTCTTTTATATGGAGGGTGATGTGAATTATATGATCTGTTGTTTCGAGTTTCGAGCACTACATGCATATATGTTAACACCAATGCAATCTTGACTCTCCAAAACACAAATTAGATTTTTGCTAGTATTTATCCTTTTGTTTTTGTGATTTTCCATTCTGCTGCATAATTCCAGATCGCTGATATGTACCAAGCTCAAAAGCACAATCATCCAAACAAAAAAGACGATAGTGAAGACGAGTGAAGTTCTTATATATTTTTTCCTTGCTTTGGAAGAGGGGATCCAATGAGTATGTTCACCATTATTCAGGTAAGGAAACACTGTTTTTATGTATCTTCCGCTCTTCTTGTAACTTGCATCAGATAAATGGAGTTTCTGATGGTCCTGTAACTCCTGTTTGAGTTTTTATTCTGTATTCTTAAATATTCTTCGTGCTTTGGCAGAACTGAGAATGCAAGCAATGGAATGGTCATTCTCAATTAGTTAAATTCTCTGAACATATTCTCATCCCTAATTCAGTAACACATAGAGCTTTCATTCAACTGTTTCAAAGAATCTGATCGTCACATGTTGCTGTTTGCAGAACTTATCTGAGTTTTATGCACAATACTTATGATCCATGCCTGTTGCATGTTTTCCAGTGTGCAGTCTTTAGTGGAAGTTAACGGTAAGTTTTATACATACTTCTGATGCACTGCTTATATAGATCTCTTTGGGTTTCATCTACTTCGCATACCCATCATCAAATGTTGGAAATATATTGGATATGTGAACATTAGGCGCTAAATCTTGATGGGGATTTTGCGCGTAAAATGATTTGTTTGCTTTTAGGGTGACAAAAAGCAAATAATGAGTTAGTGTTAGTGGGAGAGGTTAGCTAGTCAAAAGGGGATGCTTTAGTGGGTGAATTAAGTAATAACAGAACAAAAAAGCATAATTTCATATGATCCACCGACCCCTCTAATGTAGTATGAAACTAAAGACTTTATGTCTCCGGCAGAAACTCACTGTTACAGTTGCTGACAAAGTTAGTTATATGGAGAAGATCCTGGTCTAGATTTGTGGATCCCACTTCTCCTCTACTCTGTCTCATACAAAGCGTTTTTTCCCCTCCTTCCTTCTTGGTTGGTGTCCATTCCAATCTCAGCCACTGTGGTTTTATCTACTTTACATCATTTCATGAACAGATCTCTCTCTCTCTCTCTCTCTCACTCACACGCACAGAGATACTGAGAAGGGAGAAGAAAGAAACAGCATTGGCAATCTAATGACACTTGAAAGAGCAGGACATGCCCTGTTTTCACATAAGGGAGCCAAAGTATGAGAGCAGGGGAAGAACAGTGAAATGTTGTTTATGTACAAACTTCTAGGATCAATCTCAGGTTCACTTGTTGTTCCAAAGAATCAGATACTTGTGGCAATGCGACAGCTTGGTTGGTTGGTAGGATTGGTGTTAAAAGAGTCAGGGGAAGACAAGTCTTTGATACTTGGTCTCTCTCTGGTAATTAGAGTCGTTGCAGAGGACCCTTTTCCTGTTGAGATTCCCGCAGCTGTTGATGATCAGTGAATCATGATGTTGCAGAAGCTCTGACTGTGGTGATGGAGGAATGATTACAGGTGGGATTTCAATGGACTCGAGCTGAGGTGGAGGATGCTGCCACTGCGGGAGCGGTCCCACCAGCAGAAGAGTCTGAAGCAATGGCCCTGCCTTCATCACCGCTTGTAAAAGCTTCCCCTTTTCAGGTAATGGCTTCTCTGCAGCAAAGGCCAGCTCAATTTTCGCCATCTCTGGCGATGGTGGCGGCAGCAATGGTGGCTGAATCTGCTTTGGCGGGTCGAACGACGAGACGATGCTCTCCTCCCCGTCTGAAGAGGAAAACCCGTTAACGTTCAAGTCGTTTCCTCGTCTGGTTCGGTCTTGTTCTTCCTCGTGGACGCTCGAAACCCCTTGCTGTTGCTGGGGAAGGAGGAGGAGCTTCTTCTCGAGAGTGAGTCTCTGGAGGGCTTCGTCTCTTTCTGTGATGGCTTTGTTGAGGAGACGCTTGAGCTCCATTATCTGGTCGTCTCTCATCCTGAGTTCTTCGTGAGCCGCCATTCTTGTCTGCTCGAGCTCGAGTGAGGTATACAGAAGGGAATGCCTTAGCTCCTCCGTCGTCTAGATACCAAAAAAACATGGAAACACCCCTCCAAGAATCAGTCCCGTTTTTCAGATTCAGACTTGAAAAAAAAGACATATCTGAAAAATGTTACCTTTCCCTGGCATTGGTAAACCCAGCTTAGAAGAGTACTCTGCTCATTCTCCATGTTCTTGACGCGCGAGAGAGAGAGAGAGAGAGAGAGAGAGAGAGAGAGAGATGGTTATAAGGTTTGTGAGTGATATTTTCTACTCTAATTATAAGCAGAGGAGGAGAGTTGGGACAAAACGCACAAAATGTCTAAAGCTAAAAGCCTTTTTTCCATAGCAGAGAATCTCTCTCTCTCTCTCTCTCTCTCTCTCTCTCTCTCTCTCTCTCTGTGTGTGCAAAGTGCAAAAGAAGGGATATTATTTAAATTTGCAATTTGATTGGGCAGTGAAAAGACGTTAATTCTTTTAAATCAAAATCTTCATGATGTGTGTAGCAAATACTGTGTAATATGGTTTCCTTAGTGGTAAAAAAAAAGGATTGTGTATTTATGGTCTTTTACACTATTTTATATTCATCGCTCTCTTGAATCCGTATAATAAAGTTAAAGTATATACAGAGAAATTTTACAAAAAAAAAGAGTCAACACATTCAAAAGTTGCATGTACACGAAATCACGGGCCGAATTATTTATTGAGACATTCCATGGTGATCACATTTGTACACACTCTTTTTCCTAGTACGCGTTTGCAGCCACGTGTATTTCTTTCTATATATGCGTTACATACACAGAGACACACACACACATATATATATATATATATGTGTGTGTGTGTGTGTAGTTTATGTATATATGAGAGGTGAGTATGAACATGGATGATAAAAGGTGGTCAGCAATAGGAGCTGATGTAACCTAACGTTTTCGCTATTCCTTTTGCAAAAATAAAAAAACGAAAATCTATTTTGGAAATTCTCTAAGGATAATGCTAATTTTCAATTTGAAAAACAAAATTCAAAGAATGCGATAAAATATCATTAAGATTTTTATTAAATCGATGGAGAATCATATATATATATATATATATGTTAATCAAAATTAAAAGCAAAATTGATATAACAAAAAAAAAATTGGTTAAACTATAACAAAATTTTCTGTGGCGTTAACAATGTATTTATATTCTTATCCATGTATGAATCTTACAGTATGGATACAGAATCTAGTTGATGTATATTTAGTTTTACTTTTGTAAAATATGAACCATTGTTAACCATTCTCACCTTTTATTTTTTGGTACATGGACCTATCCTTACTATTTATTAATTGCTTAAATTTGGAGTCAAAGAATATAATTTGTTTTTTGGGAGAAGGGTAAATTTTTTTCAAGAAGGAACAAAATAGACACCAAATCCCTTTTTTTGCGTCCCAACCAAAACGGTGCCGTTACGCTGTGTTGTCCTCAAAAGAAAAATACTCTTTAGTGGGAAAAATAGTTTACTAATGTCCCCTTTATTAAAAGTAATTATTGTATTTTTCTCTTGTCAAGCGTTTTTGTTTTTAAACTTTCTAAGAACCCAAAAATTCATTTTGTGGAAAAAGGCAAAACCAAACCGAACTTTTCTCTAACGCGCAAAAGAAATGATGTGACATTTAATCTTTCATCATTGGCTAAAGATTTCCTCTCATGCACTCTCGCCCATTAATACAAATTTTATTTTATTTTTTGTCTAGAAAAGTTTTTCAATTGTTTCTGTATTATTATTATACACATACATACAATTAACCCTTTCTTCATCTTTTTTTTTTTAATCATGGTTGTAACTTATAAGGCTTTTGCCTCTCCCTTTTCCTTCTATTTTCCCAATATCTAATTAAATAAAATATTTAAAGAAGAACCCTTTCTGGCACTTTAATACAAATTAGCGATTTGGATGAAGTTTTTGTAGATACTATAATTAAAATGAATGATAATAACGAATTAGGCATCAAAATGGATAATTTTCCTAATATTTTAGGTAATATAAAATATATAAAATCAAGTACGAAAATGAATAAAACAATACGGAAAATCAAAATACAAAAGTCTGAAGAATTAATTAAAAACTATGAAATTAAATGGAATCCAATGAAAGAATCAACGAGTTAAAAAAATCATCGAAATATTGTCTAAAATCCAAAATAACTACAGAAACTAAAAAAAGTCAACCAAATGAATATATATAAAAGCCTAAATGCCCATTTATCTGATCTTTTGGGACAGATATAATGTATCATACCAGAGCCCATACCAATTTTCCAATTTATAAAATCATTTGAACTAATAAGGATGAATAATGACAACAAAATAACATATTTACAATAGTAAATAACACACATATACTATGAACAAGTTCTGAATTACCAATAGATAAATACTGTAAAAAAAAAACCGTGACAAGACAAGGATAAACGTAGTAGAAGATCAACATGATGGATTTTTATACACATACATTCTTGGATCCTAAATCATAGAATATATACTATGGTGCAAAACCCACATTAAGTACTCTGAATATTTCTTGATCTACAAGTTTCAGATTTATCATTCTGCAAACGCATTGTAAGGAAAGCAATCACCTTTTTTTTTTTTTTTGAAACCATGTCAATTTATGACGCACCCCTGTAGAAGATAGGAGGCTTTGGTACGAATCTGTCACATATACAAACGGGGATTAAAGATACGAAAAGGGAAAAGAGGGGGAAAAAAGATTTGATTGAATTTTGTTTTCACAGACCTTGGATGCAAACGCCCGAAGATCTGTGCTGTTGATCTGGCAAGAACAGTTTCTCAGAAACACTCCCCACATCTCCTTCAGCACTGGCTTTTCTTCGAGCAGTGAGCCATGCAAGAGCCAGTTCTCAGCCAGAGCCATGGAAATGTATGTTTTGAAAAGGTCACAACCTTTCTCTTTGACATTGATTGACACTAGGGAGCTCAAAATCTCTTCTTCATTAGCCTGTTACATCAGACATGAGACAATAACGTACAAGCATGATGAAGTGGAGTAGCTAAGGATGAGGAAAACCACACTTCTCTATGATAATATTTACTGGGCCATGTCCTAACATATTATTTCTCAAATTAACACAAAATTGTCAAGGACAAATGGAAATTAGATCCGGCAAGTGATAAGATAACTCGTCTCGCTTGCCATGCAAAAACAGGGCAGGATGGGAACTGAAGTATATAGATGATACATACTGTTGGTATATTATGTGTATTGGTTAGCAATTACCTCACGATGTTCCAGTAATACCATAAGCATCTGATTTGCCAAGGCACTTCTCAGATGCTTACTACGAGCGTCAACCCCCGATATGGATTCTACCATCTTCAGGCAGTTTATGTCCGAAGGAACTCTACAAATGCAACGAATCAGAGAACCAATTGAAACAGTGCAATGAAATAATAATATAGAAAGAGGTACAAGGATAATGATACGAGTACAAAGAAGTAGACCTGGAAGCAAGTGAGTTTGTTATTTTCTTGCAGCTGCAGACCCATTCTCCCTCTTTGAAGTATCCAACAATTGATTCCAGGCAATCGTGTAAAAGCAGTGAAAGACCTAGAAGACGGCGATCTAGAAGCAACCACACAGTGACTTCAGCTAGCTGTTCAGCTTGAGAAATGGCAAAGATCCGTTTCTTCCCCCTGACTCCAAGAAGGAAAATGGGCAACAGCGGAGAACGGAGGAGCAATCAGCATGTATGAAACTAAATATCCAGAGAGATTTCTCAGTGCTACCAGACTAAGATAGTTCAAAATTACCAAAAATTTACAGAACTTTAGCTCTGAGTTGTATTATATCATGGTGGAAGTACTAAAATGATGGTTTCCCAATTATCCAGTCAACTAACTCATAATGTACTTGCAACCTATGAGTTGCTAGCAATTAGCCATCTATCGAAGGAAGATAGATTTTTCACTACATACCTAGTCTGACAACAAGCTGCTACAAATGTGATCCAGGCTCTAATACTTTGCGGTGGACCTTGAGACTCAAAATCTTCGAAAGAAAGTGAAAGTACATCAATAATAGAGACAACATTATAAAATAAAGAAGAAGAAGACAATAAAAGAATAAGGAGCATAGGGAAACCAACCAGTGTTAGCATGGTTTGAGTTGGGAGAGGAACTAAATTGAAACCCATAAGTCTCAAGAGCTCCTTTGATTTCATGATAGCTGGGAAGCCAATCAATTTTAACAGGTCGTCCATTAACCTGATCCAAAAAAAACCCAATTGATTAGACACAGAGGAATATGCCCATTCACAGATTATGTATTAGAGCCATATGAAGCTCGGGTCAATAAAAGTGGAAAATGTGTGTAATGTTACCTCCTTTTGGGATTCAAGTATGGAACACCAGAAATCACAAGCAGATGATCTTAGCTCTTCTTTTGACGAATACAACACTGATCACACTCAAAAATTAAAAGCATTAAATATATCAATGCCTGTGAATAAGGAAAACCTCTAGAAAGAACTAGACACCCACATAAATTAAGTGTCCATTTGCATATCAATGTTTCCGCATGTGCACAAGTCAAGACCAATCTTGTAAGCCATCCATTCTTCAGAAGTCCTTCAAGAAGTATCCCTCCTGTAAGGCACGTTATTTTAAAACAGGAGTGAATTGCATTTTGCCAAGGAATAGAAAAGCTGATCAAAGACTAACTAGCTATGTTGAAGTTGAACCGTAGTAAAAAAAGGCCAACCTTTGTCTCCTGTAAGGTCCACCATGGAACTCATTTCATTATTCGTGAAATCCTTAAACAAGCAACAGCTTCCCAGTTCAGGGAGTACTAAAGCTGGTGGAATTTCCTGTACATCAAATCATATAAGTATTGCTGAACTTGGTAACTGAGCATGCCATAAAGTAATCGAACAACTCTTTATCTGGAAATATACAAGCCAAAAGTCACTCCATGAAGAATTTTCAGCCAACCTGATCCCCAAACATGGACAACCCCCACTCTTGAATATCCTCCTCACCGCTTATCTCATTCATCTGTTAAACATGTGATCCAAATAACTATCAAATATTCACTTCCTCAGATATTTCACAACAAAAAGATTTGATATTCACTTGCTGAGAAACCTTGCCATGCCTGATTCTGGCAGTCATTAACATATTTAGAAAGCAAAGCTTCTTTTCCATTCTCGTCTTCATCGGAATCATAAATCTTCCTAGCTTTCTTCTGTTTGTTTGCCTTGTCGATATGCTTACTCTTCTCTTTGTAAAAATCACATAGCAGATCGTCCAACCCGATAACTTTCTTTCTGGTGAATACATCCAAATTATCTTAGCATCAAATAGATTGCAAAAGCCCGGCAGTTTACAGAGAAGCATACTAGCTACTCTCCAGGAGACCCATAGCGCATATTCACAGGTAATAATGTAAATGAAGCTAAGATTACAAAAGAAATCGTCATGCTCAGTATTCCTTACCATTCCACTATAAGCCCAAATCAAAACCCAGGTAACAAAAAAAAAAACAAATGTTCAGATACCAGAACAGAGACAGTTTTACACTCACACACACACGAGACCATTAGCAAAACAAATCGAAATGCAGAAACAAAGAAAAACAAAGCAATTCTTCTGCAACTCAAGTCCCGAGTGCACAATGAACAGAACCATAATCTACTAATGACTCGAATTTCATCACGGTAACAATAAAAAAAGAAGACGTAGTTTGGCGATACCCAACTGAGAATTCATCATGAAGAGCGAGAACGAGTGACGAAAGATGGTACCTTCTCTTAACATCGGGAGGAGGATTGACAATAGGGTCTTCGTTCTCGAAATCAAGAGGATCATCCATATCCATCATTACCACCTCGCTCGCTCTCGCCTCTAACAATTAGGGTTTCTCCTCCGCCGTGGCCAGGGGGATGAAGAGCGCGAATTAGGGAGATGTTTCAAAAGAAGTAAAGCGAGGCACTGGGCTCGGGTTGTAATCCGGTCCATAATAACCCGGTTTAAAAGAAGTAAACCGGTTCTGATCAATTTTATGACCCAATTATAATTTTGAATCTTTGATCCGACCACGGTTGGATAAATAATTTGTGAGAAGAGGATAAAACAATGTATGAAAATTAAAATGAAAAGTTGTTTACATAGAACCCCAATAAAATATTAAAATTTAGTGGATATGTCTATAAAATGACGTCCAAAGTTGTTTAACTTGGTTCTATATATCTTATTGACTACATATATAAAATATTAGGAAATAATAGAATCAACTTTTTAAATTTGAGAAATAAATAAATTTAATTTCTAATTTTATATAAAAATACGTAAATTTTGAAATCTTTTGCAGAAATTCACATATTTAATAAAGTCGTTTGTATTGTGTGTGTATTTATTGGAAAAAAATCAAAATTATATTTTTATACAAATTTGTGTGAGTTTATATAAAAAAAATTTAAAAATTATTATTTTTATACAAAAAATAAAGTTTATTTTCCAAATTTAAATTTTTTCTATTTTTTTCCATATTTTCTACAATCAAATACTAAATAGACCAACCGTGAGTATTGATTGGATGATCAATTTAAAACATATAAATCATAAAATTAAGCCTTATCTCTTTATCTATCAGTACCAACCCATAGTTTTTCTTCTTCTCTAATAAATAATTAATTAAAACATTTTCTCTCAGTACTGAGGAGTTGAAGTTGAAGGTGACATTGTACCAAACTCATTCGACGGATCCCCGGATAAGCTCATATCTATAAAAAAAATTATTATCCATAAATTAATTTAGCTTTATAAATGGCATATATAATTAATATTAATGTAATTTTGTTTATGGCTGGAATCTATGGTCTTTGGAATGATGATTATTTCATAGAAAAAGATAATGAACATATATATATATATATATACACACACACAGAATTCATCAACCATTTAAATACAACTTGAATTAACCATCGAGTTCAATTTGAATATCTTACAATAAAAAATAAATTTTTTCCATTTTCATATGTATTGTGATAAATTTTGAATTACAAAAAAAATTATGTACTAAATCCAAACCGTTTTTTGAAAATTCAAAATAAACGTGACAAACACGTTTTTATTAACTCTATCTACACAAAAAAGAATATATATAAATAATAACTCATGGTCATGATCAAATGTTCATAGATTGTGTTTTTTCATGATATATGGTGCGTAATTTATTTCAGAGGCTCTTATGTTGTTTGGATAGTCCAAATAAATCTTTATTTAGTTTTAGTCAATTATTCACATGAATTCAAATTGCATCATAATATTTTATTTTATTTTTATTAAATACAAATAACTCATATTCAAAGCCATATCATTCTTCCAAAAACAATATTATGGCTTCGATTAGTTAGGGAAAAATAAATATGGATGTCATGATGAGCACAAAAACATATTAATAAATGAAATATATGTGAATTAATTTTGACACCTAAAATAAATGGGTTTGCGGACATAACAAAAGCTCGTCTTCTTAACTATGAAGGAATGTTTTTTATAACTGATTTGGATTTCTACCTTTCAAAAAAAAAAAAAGAGATGACCTTTCAAACAATAACAAAGTTTGATTAGTTAGCTTCTTTGCAATTGGTGGACAATATCACTTGCCGTGTACGACAATTATTATACTTAATTGAAATATTTTATTTAAATACTTTAACTATTTTAACATATATATATATATTATACGTATGTATGTATGTACTGTTGTATGGTTTAAACATCCTTATCTGTTAGCTCTTATTAGAACATGATATATATATATATATATATATGTATATATATATGCGTGCGATGATACCTAATTCGTATTATACACTTCCTTAGGAATTCATTCTACATATATGCAAATGTTTGCTAAATTATTTTTATGTACAATTTATGCAAAATCAACTTAACCCGATAATAATATTAAGGAAAAATCTCATATTCCCTACGAATTTTTATTATTTTTTTTAATTCCTATATCAATTTTTAATTTGACAAAAATTTATGTAAAAAATAAAATTTTTCAAAATTTTACACTAAATCTTAAAATGAGTTGCATTTTTCCATGCAACCATAGAATTTCGAGATTTCTGTTTATTTTGATTTTATTGATTTTAGTTTAGAGATTTCAATGATTTAAGCGATTTTCGTTTAAATTTGGTATGAAATTTTGGGAAATTTTTAATTTCTGTATAATTTTTTGTCAAAATAAAAATTGATCTTAGAAACAATAACAAAAACTAGTAAGAAAAATATGAGATTTTCTCTAATAATAATTTATAAAGTGCTAAATAAGATTTTTGCATGTGTAACAATTTAAACAATAGAAATAAAACAGACGGGTTTAATATATCTTGCGAACCATATATATATCCCATGAAAATATAGATACCGAATTACTTAAGTTAAGTTACAGATAACACACATATACATACATACATACATACATACATACATATATACAAGTCAGAAGTATTTTTTTAATAAATAACTATGAATTTATAGATACTGTCAGGTCTAAAATCACTAGAAATATGAAATATGTTTTATTTTCCTTTAACAAAAAAAATATTTTATTTTCCTTTATTCAAGAGAGGGAAAAGAAAATATTGTCCATCATCTTCTTCAACAATCTTCTCCCATCTTTCTTCTCTGTTCCAATTTCACTGTCCCTTAATCTCTACTTTAACTCCTGAAAAACCTAAACAGAAAACACCGTTTCACCCATATATACAAGTCAGAAGTATTTTTTTAATAAATAACTATGAATTTATAGATACTGTCAGGTCTAAAATCACTAGAAATATGAAATATGTTTTATTTTCCTTTAACAAAAAAAATATTTTATTTTCCTTTATTCAAGAGAGGGAAAAGAAAATATTGTCCATCATCTTCTTCAACAATCTTCTCCCATCTTTCTTCTCTGTTCCAATTTCACTGTCCCTTAATCTCTACTTTAACTCCTGAAAAACCTAAACAGAAAACACCGTTTCACCCACTTAAACCTTATTTCAAAACCCCCAAGCAAAAAAAAAAAAAAAAACCCCCAAAAAAAAAAAAAAAAAAAAAAAAAAAAAAAAAGAGGACAAAATCTCTCATATGAGAAACCCTAAACGATTGTATCGATGATTGGAAACACAAGTTTCTCGTTTCGGAGGTAATCTGAGAACGAAGAAGAAGAAGATGACGACGACGCAGAAACAGAGGAGACACGAGAAGAGCTTCTGTTTCAGACACTACTACAAATGGATCCTCTGTTTTTTTCTGACTCTTTATTTTCTTGCATCCTTCTTCGTCGACCACGATCATGATCATGATCACGATGACCGTACGACGCCGTCCAATTCGTCAACTCCCGATCTTCTTCCAAACCCTAAATCTAATTCTGTCATGGCTTCTCGCGCCGTGATCGAATCTGAATCCATCGGTCAAGATCCCAACGTCAAACCAGGTCAGACATGATGCATACATACATATATATATATATATGTATATATGTGGTTTAACCAAAAACAAAATGTATATATATGTGGTGTGGTTTCCTTCCCACTAATGGTTTTCTCCCCCTTGTGTTTTCAGCAGTTAGATTCGTTTCAATTAATGTTATTTTCGGACATAAACGGAAACTTTTAGTTATATGTAATCATATATATATATATATATGTATATTACAATTTCAGCTCATTTTTTAAAATATAACATTGCATAAAACACATAACACAAATACGATATTAATAATATAATATTTTTTTTCCCTATCGTAGGAAAACTCAACGGCTTGAAAATATACGTATACGAATTACCATCGAAGTTCAACAAGGACTGGCTCCAAAACGACCGGTGCGGTAGCCACCTTTTCGCGGCGGAGGTGGCATTACACCGGGCGTTGCTCGGAGCCGCCGGCGTACGGACGGAGGATCCGTACGAGGCTGATTTCTTCTTCGTTCCAGTGTACGTGTCGTGCAACTTCAGCACCGTCAACGGGTTTCCGGCGATCGGGCACGCCCGAACTCTGATCTCCGACGCGGTCAGGCTAGTCTCCGCCCGGTTCCCGTTCTGGAACCGGACCCGTGGTTCGGACCACGTCTTCGTCGCCACGCATGACTTTGGCTCCTGCTTTCACACCATGGTTAGTTATATAATATAGTATTATATATATGCATGCCGATATATAGGCCAACACAAATAGTTGTATGATGTAAAAATAATTGATAATTAACGAGATTTTTACCATGCAGTGATTGTGATTATTTTTTTAAAAATGTGAAGGAGGATAGGGCAATTGCAGATGGAGTGCCGGAGATTTTGAAGAATTCCATAATTTTGCAAACGTTCGGGGTTAAGTATAAGCATCCGTGTCAAGGCGTGGAGCATGTCGTCATACCGCCGTACATCTCGCCGGAAAGTGTACGAAAAACGTCGAACAACTTTCCGGCCACCGGAAAACGTGACATCTTCGTTTTCTTCCGGGGAAAGATGGAAGTCAATCCCAAGAACATCAGTGGACGCTTCTATAGCAAGTAAACTGTTTATTCAACCTTTTTTTAAAAAAAAATTATAAGGAATATTGTTACCAATTTTTTTTTTTATTAACAGTTAGTTCAAATAAACTAATAATTAAAAATAAAAGAGATCCAACGAACGGGTTTGTCTTTTTGCATTTTTTAAATATGTTTTTTCTTCAAACAAACATGCAACTAAAAATATATAACCACATTAGGCGTGGTGGATCATTCACCTAGTTTAATATACATATATTATAAAGAAGTATATCACTTAATATACTATTACAGAGTACAACTATTAAAGTTGGGTTCGATTTTAATAATGATACTTAATAAAACATTCGTAATTTAAATTGAAACAGTATATACGCTTTCTATGTTTCGATATTTATGAACTATGAAAACAATATTTCTATATCAATAAAAATATTTATATAGAATATCAAAACATAAAATCTAACATATACTATTTTTATTGTATTTCATGTTTTCATTGTTTCATCTCTGACGTGTTATATACTTTTCAGACGGGTAAGGACGGAGATAGGGCGGAGATACAGCGGAGATCGGCGGTTCTATCTCCGCCGCAACAGATTGGCCGGCTACCAATCGGAGATCGCTCGCTCCGTCTTCTGCCTCTGCCCTCTCGGGTGGGCCCCGTGGAGCCCCAGGCTCGTGGAGTCAGTCGTCCTCGGCTGCGTCCCCGTCATCATCGCCGACGGCATCCGTCTTCCCTTCCCCTCCGCCGTTCCCTGGCCGGAGATTTCTCTCACCGTGCCGGAGAGACACCTCGGAGACCTTGGGAAGATCCTCGAACACGTGGCGGCCTCTAATTTGTCCGTCATCCAGCGGAATCTGGAGGAGCCGTCGGTGAAGCGTGCTCTGCTGTTCAATGTCCCGATGGAGGAAGGTGACGCCACGTGGCAGGTGTTGGAGGCTTTGTCGGAGAAGTTTGGTAGATCGGTCAGGAGGTCAAAGGGATTTTTACTCCAATAGAGTTTTGACACGTGTTGTAATAATAAAAAAAAAATTTAATTTTCCGACCTGCCGGATTCGAACCAGCGACCTAAGGATTATTCTGCGATCAGACTACAGTCCTCCGCTCTACCAACTGAGCTAAGGTCGGTTTTCAATATTAGATTATTATAGATTATATAGAACAACTAAAAAAGTATCCATCTGAATTTATATGACTGGTCGAACTGAATCTAAATCAAATAACATTGGGATAGGACAAGATTTTACATCAAAGCGTGTATAAACAAGCTTATGAATGATTGCATGGAGAAGCATTCCTTTGGAAGATTTCTCTTAGGGTCACTATTACAGGCTTAAAACCCGATCGCAGGGGAACAACTGAGGCTACTCTCAGGTGCTGGGCGTTTCGGTTGTGTGGCCGAGTTAATGTCATCCTCAGCATTTCTCCCTCCAGAACACGATTAGCCATTGAAGCTACAAAGTAACACATGAACCCATGCCACTGTTACGAAGAATCATCTCAGACCTCTTTTTATGTATCTTATAGAGTTGATTTTGGTGAAAGGAAAGAACTTTGAATTTACCTGCAGAAGGGTTGAGATTTGAGAAGGTGAGGAATTCATCAGCTGAGCAACCAAAGAGAGTTGTCGCAGCTCTATCAAAACAGATCACGGTTTTCACCTCGGCATCGGTTGCTATAGACATCTGCAGTAAAAGAGAATGCTCCCATCATCTAGAAACAAGAACATGAATTTCTCAGTAAGGACGAAAACGAATCCTTATTTTCGTTTACCAGCAACAGAAAGAAACTATGAATCTTCTGAATCACATAAAGCTAGTTGGAATTCTCAATTCCATTGCTAAGATGAGTATTCCTCTGTTTTTCTGAGAAACAGTCTCCTCACACTCATCTCAGACAATCATAAAATCAGAGTCTTAGCACACTAAACTAAACGAAACCCATTTTTTCCAGTTCAATTTTCACAGCCAAAAGGTGCGAACTTTAACCGGAAACGAACACAATCAGGGGGTCACAAGCCTCACAACAAGAGCAACTCAGCAAGAACTTCACTTTTAGAAGGAAAAAATAAAGATTTCCTCGAGGATTCCCTTTTCCCATACAACAAGAAGCCATTAGAGAAGAATGCAAAATTTTCATACAAGGAGCCGATAGAGCAGTTTGGATTCTTTTGACTTGCAGAATCTGCAGAACAACGAAGAAGAATACGGATCACCACCGCCACCACCATTACCATCGTCTCCGGAAAATACCCTCTCACACCGAGAACACACCCGATAACAATAATCTCCATGATCGATGGCAAGCAACGAGCAAATTATCGTTGTCGTCTGAGCGATCTCCATTTCCTAGGGCTTTTTCTCGGGTGTTCCAAAGTTTCTTCCTTCTTTCTTGTCTCGAGAGTTCCACAACGTTTAACTGGGCCTAGAGAAGACCCAAACCAAGAAAACCTCTAACTTAGATAGAGGGTCCCGGCCGCTTCCTCCATATGCTTCCACCGAGAAGTCGGAAGGTACTTGAGTGAAGAGAAAACCCAGAAGCCGAAAACCCTGACAGAGGACGATCACAATGGATCCCGACAGGTATTTTCAGTTGATTTCTGCTTTATGTTACCTGATGATTGCTTAATTTTCATGATACTGCAATTTCTTCTCATTCCGCTCCATGAGTTAATCAGTTTCATAACGTTTGAAGTTTATTGGGAGATGAAACCGATTCAAATTGGTCTTTTCTTTGGGATTACCATGCTTGCTAAAAGCTTTATCCCCGTTGGTACTAGAAATTATCTTCTAGTTTTTTGTCAAGTTGGATCTTTTTGAAAGAAAATTACGTTTTCTCTTGTACAGAGAATCGGCCATAGTTCCTGTGGTTTCTTCCCATTGATCGGTTTTATGTCGTGTATCTTCGAAATTAAAGAAAAGAAATGAGATTTGACGTCGTTTGGAACAAGTTTGCATTGTTCTCATGCCAGGTTTAGCTCCTGGTTAATCCCCCATGGAGTCTGCTGAATGTTCTTATCATACCTTTGCTTGAATATGTGCTCCGTATCTTTCATTGAACTGCATTTTTCTCAGGTATACGTTTTTGCTTTTGGTTCCTTGGATTCCTCCATTTGAGCTTGCATTTTTTTCTTACCAGTTTGATGGCTTTGTGCATGGCTTTTGGTTATTGTTCATAGCTTCAAGTTCTTTGTACTTGTTGTGTTGCTGTATCATGATGGTATGAGTTTGACATGGTAGGATCCAAATTCGAAGCATTTAGGAACCGGATGCATCAATGGTGTTTGCCAAATATCTGGTATCATATCTCCTCTCCCCTTTGAATCCTTCATACCTCTCTCCTCACTCCTTCCAGATTTTTTTTGGCTGCTAGGATTAACATCGGTATTTGACTTCTTCCAGTGTCTTGTTCAGATAGATATCAGACTTGAAGAAGAGTTCGGATGAGCATTCAGGCGGTCTTATATCGTTCACACGCATATGAAATCCAACGTTAGTATTGTTCTGACAAAGGAGACGCAAAGCACGAGTAAAAATTTAAATCTGGAAAAAAAGAACGTAATTGAAACAAACAAGAATTTGTGTGTATGTATATATATAAAAAGAGGGCAAAAAAATCAAGCTAATAATCCTCAGAAACTGACGGAAGCCAAACTGTCTTGATCAATGCCAGACAGAAGAGCAGTTGGTGGGTTTGAAGGAGATGATCCTGGAGACTGTGTCATAACCGATCAAGAAGTTGGACTGAGCTTCGTAGCCGAATATTGGAGGGTGCCCCGGGGTCGGGGCGATCTTTAAGCAAACCACCCCATCATCCACGTTATAGTACGTGTTTGATCGTCCCAAAACGAGATCCGCACCAGCAAAGTGCATCGTTATCACCGGAAAATCCTCGAGATTGCACGGCGAGTAACAGTTCTTATCCTGGGGATTGGCTCCTTTCGCTCTCATCGCGGCCGTCACCGCTTCCTTGACGCGTTGGAAATAGTCCTCCGCTAGCATCAGATATGTCGTTCCCGAGTCTATGACAATGTTTCCGTCCTTTGAACCCATCGAGGTTCCCGAGGTCTCAACCCATGCATCATCCACGCTCACTGCCTCTAGGTTTAGGTAGTAGAAGTTCGGACTAAACTTCTTTCTGTAAAGCAGCGTAGACATGGTTCCACGTCCCGAAACGATAGCGTTTGCTCCGAAGTTGATCTTGCTCGTCTTGGCGCCTAAACAGTAGGAGAAGAGGCCTTGGATTCTGTCTCCCATCTGAGAGATGAGGGAAAACGGTCCCCAATCGAGTCCAATGATCCCTGTCATGTCACCAGATTCGATACTCGTGTTGTTCCGACCGCAGCCAAAGAGGGTTCCGATCAGAGAAAAGTGCGTGCCCGAGGTCAAGCCGAGGGTGAACGTATCAAACCCAACCGTCCCAATAGAGAAGGTCTTATCCCCGTAAACAATTGTGTAAGGGCAGACACTGTTCTTATCACCGTGACAGTTGGTGGCTCTGTTAATGGTTTTGCACTGCCTTGATCCGCAAGGAAGGTCTTGGTAGGTAGAGGAAGCGAGAGGGTTGAACTTGTGATAATCTTGCGGGAAACATCTGGCGCAAGGCAGACACTGCGTCCAGATAAGACCGCTTCCCGTATCTGCAAATCCCATGATCTCCACCGGTGGCGTCCCGATCTTTATTTTCATCAGGTACCCACCCAGGTAGCTGGACACTGCGTCGGAGTACGGCGACCGGGTGGGACGAAACGATCGCATGCTTTGGTAGGGGTTGCTGTAGGGGGATGGCGTTCTGATGGAATCGTGGTAGATCAATTCGGCTGTGATGCCGTCTTGTGGGGCAGCGTCTGCGGCGAACAGAAGGAGAATTGCTTGAACCGCAGAAACGCAGAACGCAAGAAACGCCATTCTTATGTGTGCTCAAGAGAAGAGCTGCTAATTGAGTACGAGTGAATTGGTTAATAATCCACCAACTTTACTTATATATATATATATCTATATATGCCTTTTTTTGTGCATTCCATTTAGGAATATTTCTATATTTTTAGGTTGAAAAAAATATTTCCATTTTTTTTAGTGAATTGTGATGGCAAATTTTAGGAAGTTTGTATTTTATTAATTTCTTCTTCAACTTTAATCCGGAAAAAGGAAATATTAAATACGGAAACTTTTAAGCTGAAGTAAATGAATCTGCCATATAATATATTTTTTTTTCTTTTTTCAGTTTGTAAAAAGCACATATCTACCATGTTTTCGTTCGATTAATGTTCTCTCAATATTTTGTCAAATCCAACAAAATTTACATATATTATTTATTTACTTTTCCATTAAATATGCCGTCCCGTTAGCTCGAGCAGAACGACCCCGAAGCTGAAAACGTCCGACATCAAGGAGGCGCATCCAGCGATCGCGTATTCGGGAGCAAAGTACCCGAAAGTTCCCTGCATGCTTGCTGGAGAGCTCGAACCGCTGTTCATGCCATCCGTACTAAGGCATTTAGCCATTCCAAGATCTGTTATCTGCACAGATTTGGCCACAAGTTCATCGATCTCTCTTTTTTTTTTAAAAAAAAAATCTAATCAATAACTTGCCATAACAGTCGGAATCGATAGATATATATATATATATCGGTGCAAGATTCTTGGAGCAGCAGCTTCGTGAAGATACTCTAGCCCTCTGGCAGCTCCAATGGCAATGGAGATTCGGAGATCCCATGTCATTTTTTTTGAAAGCCCACCGCTTGATTTCTAATTGGGCTTTGTACCGCTTGACTTTCTCATGTGTTTTTCATAATTAGGCTTTGTCTGATGGGCCCACCTTTATGTGTTCAAAATTTCATATCAAGATTTGGCATTTTTTATTTTAAAAAAGGGGTAGATAAGGTGTTGAGCTTAGCAAATAGAGTTATAAAAATGGAAAATCATAATGGACGAATAAAAAAAAAAAAGTTGAAACACCACTCATTTGTGGTGGTGCAACATTAGACCGCGTAAAAAATACGAGGGCATGATCCAACTAAGGGTGGGCAGAATCTAGTTCCGAACCGTACCGAACTGATTAATTTGGAAACGATTCGGTTCGGTATTATATAAAAATACTGAACGGTACAAGATCTAAGATACCGAACAGTTTGAGAACGGTTCGGTTCAGAAAATACCGAAAGATATTTCGGTATTTTTATTTTTTAATTAAAAAATATGTAATATTAATAATTAATTATGATAATTACTAAATATTAATAATTTTTACGTCATGTATTTGGATTTATGTTTATTTTGTTTATTAATAATAATTAATAGAAATATTTATTTTGTCTAGCATTACCAAAGTTCAATAAATTATTTATTTTTATTAATTTTGATTATATTTAATAGTAAGTTGTCTATATTTTACTTTATAAATATTTTATTTTTATCTCTTTTTATTTATATTATTTTTTTATATTGCAGACATTTTATTTTATTGGTAAAAAAAGATTGATTTCTACATATATATATAATATGATTTTTAAAGCGTAATTTAAAGTTTTGATCATATTTATAGAAAATTTCCAAATTATTATGTTAAATTTCTTTACGATTACATCAAGTTCAAAACTTTTATTTTGTTTTCTAAAATTATTATGTCAGATTTCTTTATTTTTATATATATGAATTATAAGTATGTTATTAACCGTCCCGTATCGTTTTTATTTCAGTTCTTATTTGGTACTTATTTCTTAGTACCGTTCCGTCCCGAACATTCATAATACCGAACTGAATCGAACTGGATAATATACGGTACGAATTTGGTACAAATTTTATAATACCGAATAAACCGTTTCCGAACCAAACCGTTAAAATTCCGAACCGAATCTCGAAACACCCACCCCTAGATCCAACAAACAACATGATCAAGTAAACGGACAAATCTCATCATCATGACCAAACACAAATACGCTTCACATAAAACAACCCAAATTCAATATATATAAAACAAAATAGGAGAATTAGCAAGGCTTCTCGCCGATGTAGTTGCAAGTAATGAAGACACCAATGACATTAGCCCATTAATAATGATCAACAAAACTAAACCGGACAGAGCCTAATGACGGCGACAATAGAAGAACTTGAAGATTGTGGTGCCCAGAGGCGTCACGATGCCCAGAATAACGAGCGCCAAGTAGAGAGGATCCACGGAGCAACCGTCTGCATCGTGTGATGACTTTCGGTTGCGTTGCCTCGGTCTCGGGATGCGTCATGGAAGGCGGCTTCCACCTCTGCCTCCAGAGTGAGAGGGAAGAACCCGTGTTGCACCGAATAAGCCAAAGACAAACGTGAATGAGTAGGAACAGAGGCATAAAAAAACGAAATAGAAATTACCTGGAACCGGAACAGGCGGCGGCGCCGGAATGGATGGCGGAGGCGGTGGCGTCGCTCCGGCGAGGACCATGATGAGCAGGAAGGAAAAACCCTGAAAATTCATGTTTGTTTGAACTTTGAAGGGCTTCTTTGGATGTGTTGTTTGAGGGTAGGAAGCTGTATAAATACAGTTTTTGAGATGAAAGGGAGCATTGATAAACCGCTCTCGTGATTCCTCAAGAATGGAAAAAAAAGCGACTTCTGAAACTCGAAACTCTATTGCTCTTTGTCTTCTCCGTCTTTATATTCCGAAATCTCAAGACCAATCGATTTGATTATAATATTATAAAATATATTAATAAAGCATATAATTTTAAAATTATAAAATGTACGAAAATTGTATAGATAAATATTTTTTATATATAAGAGTATATATGTTTATATGTATGTATGTATGTATTTATATATACATACATATATTGTATATGTATTTATATATATGTATGTGTGTATATATAAATATATTTGTATGTATGTATATATATTTGTATAAATGTGTGTATATTTATGTGTATTTTTTATTTTGTATGTATGTCTATATATATATATATATTTATTTATGTAGTAAAAGGTCACTTTTTATGAATTCCGTATAGGAAAATGTCAGTTTCCCATATATAAAAAACAAAAGAGAAGAATTAGCAAGGCTTCTCGCCAATGGAGTTGTCAGGGGGTTGTAGTTGCAAGTAATGAAGGCACCAATGACATTAGTCCATTAATAATGATCAACAAAACTAAACCAGACAGATCATAATGACGGCGACGGTAGAAGAACTTGAAGATTGCGGTGTCCAGAGTCGTCACGATGCCCAGAATAACGAGCGCCAGGTAGAGAGGACCCACGGAGCAACCGTCTGCGTCGTGTGATGACTTCCGGTTGCGTTGCCTCGGTCTCGGGATGCGTCTTGGAAGGCGGCTTTCACCTCTGCCTCCAGAGTGAGAGGGAAGAGCCCGTACTACACTGAATAAGCCAAAGACAAAACGTGAATGAGTAGGAACATAGGCAAAAAAAACGAAATAGAAATTACCTGGCGCCGGAACGGGCGGCGGAGACGGTGGCGACGCTCCGACGAGGACCATGATGGGCGCCGGCACTGGAGTGGGCGACGGAGGCGGTGGCGTCGTTCCGGCGAAGACCATGATGTACGTTGGAAAGGGCGCCGGCACCGGAACAGGCGTCGGAGGCGGTGGCGTTGCTCTGATGAAGACCATGATGAGAAGGAAGGAAAAACCCAGAAAATTCATGTTTGTTTGAACTTTGAATGGTTTCTTTGGATGTGTTGTTTGAGGATATGAAGTTGTATAAATATAGCTTCTGAGATGAAATGGAGCATTGATAAACCGCTCTCGTGATTCCTCAAAAATGGAAAAAAAAAACAACTTCCGAAACTCGAAACTCTGTTGCTCATTGTCTTCTCCGTCTCTATATTCCGAAATCTCAAGATCAATCGATTTGATTATAATATTATAAAAAATATATTAAAAGCATATAATTTTAAGATTATAAAATGTACGAAAATTGTACTGATGGATATTTTTTAACCAAAAAAATTATAATACGAAATCAAGGAGAACTTTTGAACATAAATATTTACTAATTTTCAATATCTCAATATGAAAGTTTTGAATGGATTTGAATTGGACTCATAAGGGATTTTTAATCCAATAGAATTTTGACACATGTAATAATAATATAAAAAATTGAAAAACTAATCCAGATTCGAACTACTGACCTAAGGAAAATTTGCAAGCACACTACAATCTCCAATATCAACTGAACCAAGATTGGTTTTAAGTAGAAATTATGTTTGGAAATATATATAACATGAAAAACAGAATTTTCATGGGGTTTGTTTGAAGTTTTTAGGTATCGTTTGAAGGTTTGGGAAGGTATATTTATATTATATATACAATTTTGCTCATGAAATGAAGTGAGGGAATCAAAAACCATTTTCGTGATTTCGAAATAAAGGAAAAAAACATGTGATTTCAAAATTCTTTTGCTCCTTGTAGCGCCTAAGCCCTAGAGAATGACCCTCTAATTCATCCTGAGGTTCTTCCTCTCTTCAGCTTCCACCCGAAACTTTCTCCTCATCTTCCTTTGTCTTATTCGTCTGTTCGAAATGGCTTTTTCCGGTATTTTAGTATGACGATACTAAGCCGCCTTTTATAGATGCAAATTCTACGGATTTCAAAATACCTTTCTCAATAAGAAAGACATACACTTTTTCGTTACCGTTTAATCTAAGGCCCCATTGATTTCATCTTCGACAATGTCAAATCTCTCTATATTTCGAAATCTCAAGATCAATCTGTTTAATTATCATATTATAAAAATATATTAATAAATTATATAATTTTAAGATTATAAAATGTACGAAAATTGTACAGATGAATATTTTTTAACCAAAAAATTTATTATATAAAATCAAGGAGAACCTTTGAATGTAAATATTTCATAATTTTCAATATCTCAAGATGAAAATTTTGAATCGATTTGAATCAGACTCAAAAGGGATTTTTAATCCAATAGAATTTTGACACATGTAATAATAATGTAAAAAATTGAAAAAATAATCCGGAGGATTTTTTTTACCATGGATCATCGTTAAGACTTTCCTCCGAGATTTGCAATATTAAGGAAAGAAAAATAAAATAAAGCACGAAATATTTGTTGTAAGGAAGAAAGAGCATAACGACGACGATAGAAGAAATCGAAGATCAGCGTTGTAATATCCTGATTTCCGAATAAATTATTTAATTAAATTTCGGGAATAGAATAGGATAAAACAAGTCTAAAATATAAGATGATTGGCATAAACATCGAACCGAATGACAAGTGGGGCTAAAACACGTCGAAAACGTCGAAAAAAAAACGAAGAAAAAATGGTCTAGACCGATCGATCCAGAGGTAGACCGACCGGTTCAGAGAAAAAGCAGAGAATATACGAAAAATATTTTATATTAGATTAATTCCATCATATTTGATTGATTTTTATTTTAAATTTGTATATATTAAAATATGTAAATTTATACATTAAATATCAAATTGGTTGGTAAATATTTTTCATTTAAAATAAAGTTTTATCCATCTATTTTTATTATGTATAAAATTATAAGTTATGATTTGTCATTAAGATATTTTATGCATAGAATGTTATTTTTTCTATCGAATTAATCTAATATAAAATAATGTTATAGTTTTTTTAAAATAAAAATTTAAAAATTAAAATAACCACAACTATTACAATAGATAACTATAATATTATATATTCCATACTTTTATGTTGAGTTTTAAAAAGATCAAGAATTATATTTTTATACCAAATATTTTCTTCCTCACAGTCTGCAATTCTTCCGTCGAAATATATACAGATCCTTTGTTTCTTTCGTGTCATATGATCATTAATCAAATGAACCAGTTTATAAGTTAAAAATCTAATTAAAAAACAAAATTTAAATATTAAAAAACATTAAAAATACTATAAACAGATTTAAAAATAAAAAATTAAACCGAACACCTCAAATATTTATTAAAACACAATTTAAATATAAAAAATATTTAAAATATTAAATACTTAAATAATACTTTTTGATTTCTGGGGTAATTCATGATGAATTTACTCGTTCGGTCTATTTTTTTGGGACTCAAAATTTCTGAACTCAATTTAAAAAAATATAGATTGACTCGTGAATCGATTAGGCGAATTGGATCCATTTTGACACCTCTGCTAACATGCAGAGGTAAATCTGGAAAACGATATTCTATCAATGCATTTATATATTCTCCAAAAACGATATTGGATCATATTATTTTTAGATATGATTTAACATTTTCATCCCTTATAGATTTGGATCCCTTATAGAATTGGATCATATTCTATCAGCGCTTCCACTTATAGATTTATACGATACCGTAATACCGGTATCTTAATCGGGTGGAACATTAACATATGAGTATGACTTTTTTCTTCTACATAACCAAATTAAATTCACTCAAGTTGAATAAAAAAATAAGAGTAATAATATCTTAGCAATTTTTTAAATAAAAATCAAATTCGAATTGACCACAAATTGAACCCAACCGAAATTCGTAAAAACAAATTGATTTTTTTTTATAAAAACAAAATAGAAACACTTAAAAAAGGAATACAACAGAAAAAAGAAAACTCAAATATCTTTGCCACAAAACAAAATCAGCTCCTTATTTTGATACATTCGATCATCCCGATCTTGATTTTCGTGATTACCTTTAGGCTATATATTTCATGCTCTGTGGCAAATCGTATGGACTTGTTTCACATCAGTGCCAAATATAAATTGTATAGTATTATTTGATCCCAAGAGGAAAAAGAAAGTAACAAAATCATCAATGGTAGTTGGGACCATAAATATGTGTGGTGGCGCATATATGCATGAATGAAATAAATAGATCCAAATTATAAAATCATCAATGGTAGTACATATATGCATGAATGAAATAAATTGGTCAAAATATACGTACATGCAAGTATATACGTAGGCATGGAAAATACCCCACTTTAATTTTCACTAAAACTCTAGAAATATCTTAAATACTAATAAAGCAAACCTTTATTCTTGAGACATTTACTGTAACAAATCAAAGCATATCATCCGGTAAGGATGTAGATAGACGATAAGGGAAAAAAAATCAGAATAAAAACATTCGAAACATAATAATACATTGAAAGCACCATATAAAGAGGGGAAGGTCACATAACCTTTTTTTTATGAAAAAATAATTGTTCATAAGACTGTGAGTGCCTCCGATGTGAAACTCAGGACATAGATGAAACCTTATCGGCAAGAAAGCATGGTTTAGCTCTTGGGGCCAATGTCCTTGAGACCACATATATGCTCCTCTCCCATGGCCGACATAACAGACACCAAAAGATCCTTCCCATCACCGAACGCCGATTTGATCTATTCAAACACAACGGTTACTACATATATTAATGTTCCACCCGATTAAGATACCGGTATTACGGTATCGTATAAATCTATAAGTGGAAGAAAGTGCACAAAAGAGACAGATATTATGGGATGAGTAGGCAACACTAACTTGTCTGAGCAGAGTCTCGTCGGTGGGGAGCCTTAGGTCATCCTTGGCGTTACCATTATCGGTCAGCAAGCTAAGTAGCTAACCTGCGAGTGGGTTAACAATTTGAAACCTGTTAAAAACAGTTCTATCACATTGCATTCTAAGTGTTTCGACATTGAAAAAAGTAGCGGAAGTTCATACAAATCCATCTTCAGATATGTCAATCAGCGGGTAATCGGTATGGTTGACCTGTGGATCCTGATGAATTTCAAAAACACGAAATCTCATAATGGAAAAAACAGAGAGAACAACCAATGTCAGTTATCATAATTCAATGGCAGTTACGAAATACGAAATTATTGATTTGGGAAAGAACGTGCCAATAATACTGTGTAATAAATATAAGTATTAGTGCGAATGTTTCTTTCTCTCTCATCGCAATATGTGTCGTTGTAATTTTCGTGACTTTTCAATGAATTATAACGTAATGTTTATTAATATCAGTTAACCCCATCACATTTCTCATTGAAATATATTTATGAATTTTCCACGTAACTGATGATTACCTTCTCTAACTATCTCTAAATAATAATTGCCAAATTGATTTTCTTTACCACTAATGAGCACCAAAATATGCATAATGATACGTTTTTTGTTTTCATTCGCCATTTTGAGTTTTTTAACTTTTTATTCTACTAAATATAATTAGATGTTAAAATCCTATCATTTTAATAATCATAATTAACATATAAATAAAGATAATTTGTTATATTTTTAAAATTATTATAACATATTGATTTTTACCAAACTAAATATCAAGTAGACAAATCTAATCTGAAATTACAATAGATTGAAATAAATTTACTGTTTTTATTATTTTTATATTCAATCTAAGTTTACACTGTAATATAAAATATACTTTTTTTTTTAAATTTTTACATGGTTTTCTTATAATATTGTCATTTTAGTATTTTAAAACTAAAAACAAATAGACTTTTTTATAATAAATAAATAATTTATCCTAATAATAACATATTTATTCATCGTGTATTATATATATATCACATAAATTATATTAAAATCTATTTTAAAATGATCAATTAATGAGAATTTAGAAAACTGCTACCTGGATGATGAGTTGGAGATGACGTGGCTTCACCGAAGCTTCTAAATCCAACTTTTATATATATAGATTTCAATTTTCCCACATTTATTGTTTCCAGTATTTTTTTTGCTCTACCAATATTTTTCTTATCGACAAATTTGTAGAAATTTGAGGAATTATATTTTTTATCGATAAATAAAATAATATATAAATAGATGAGAATCTTACATTAAATAAGTAAATTAAATATAATAATAAATATTTCTAAATATATATTTTTTGAATTTGATAAGATCTCTATTATACGATCTCTATTATACGATATATCTCGTAATATTCTTCAAAATATATCTTAACAAGATTTACATATATTATTTATTTACTTTCCGGTTAATTATACCATTTTATTTTAGTTTGTTTGTACATCGTTTCAATGGGAAGAATTAAAGGAAACATCAAATTAATTTAATTGGTGAGAAATAATATTTATTTATATACTAATAATACTCCGAAGCCTGCAAGTCCAATGACCTCCAAGGGCAGTGTCCCGATCATTATTTTCATCAGTTACCCACCCAAGTAGTTGGGTACTATGTCGGAATACGCAGACCGAGTAGGACGAGAGCGCGGGGGATCATGGCGGATCAATTCGGCTGTGATTCCGCCTTGCGGGGCAGAAGCAGCGACCACGAAAAAGACAAGGAGCATTGCAGTTAAAACACAACGAAAGAGACGCCATTGTTACTGACTATGTTGTTGATGCAGAAGCTTTGCTTGTATATATACACACACAAAGAGGATCAAAGAAATCAGGCAAGCAGATGAGGCGACATCTACTCAAGGAAACAAATCAATGATATAAGGAGATTTTATGATGTAATATTATCCAGCAGATTCTTGCTGATTAATATCCTCATCTCGTACAACTTTTTCATTGAATCTAACATCAGATTCTGTAAAAAGAGATATATCTTAGATTTAGCACAAGATAACATCACGTTCCATGTTTCTTTATTCATCACGACAGGCTCATGCGGAAGAAAGAGCATAAAACACTGGTCGGAGTGGATCGAGACTTTTCATGGATGACTCGGGTATTACCCTTCTCAAGCTGCATTCACGGCCGTTTTCCCGATAGTGTTGAGATCAAAGATTTCTATCCAGTAGCCGTCGGGGTCCTTGATGAACGCTATGTCCTTCATTTTTCCTGCAACATTTCAGGAAAAGGGGGGGGGGTGAGGGGATTGAGAATTTAGTCTGCGATATGAAAATATTCAAACTTTTCGATTAGATTGAGTCGGTTTGGTGATAACACCATCGTTCGGTCTCTTCACAATCTCCACTCCGAGTTTTTCGAATCTTTCGCATGCCTTGTGAACATCATCAACTGTAACCCCGATGTGCCCTGCAAGAGAAAAATCAGTTCTTGTGTTGAGATAATACCTCGGAGATTGTAAGAACTCGGGACTTGTTTCCGTGAATATATAGATCATAGTTTCTTTTGATCTTTACCCCATTACGCTTATACTATTCTAAAAATCTTCGATCCTTCCAAATCAAGATTGGATTCCATGGAACCAGTATATAATAGTTAACATATAAAAATTACCCAATTAATCGTGAATATGTAAAGAAAAGAGTTATTACCAAAACCACGAGGCTCGCTGTTCCCGTTGTGATACCCTTTAAACTCTGGATCACTCTCGGTACCCCAATTGCTGAAAGAAAGATTCATATTGAAGGCAGGTTTGATGGGCAAAAAAAGAAAAGCATAATAGGCCGTAGTTTCTTGTTCTTACTGCGTAAGTTCAATAGTAGCAGGTCTACCGAATGTCCAGACTGTTTTCTCAACTGGATCAGTTGGAGCATATGAAGTATCCTGTACCAGCATCAAATGTTTTTTTTCTTTACTTTCAACCGAACCATCTATATGACAAAAATTCCATGCAAAATCTCCAAGACCGCGAGAATTTGTTGGAAACAAGATCAAAAGTTGAATGCTTGAATCATGATATTAGGGTGCAAACCCCAAAATGAAGTGTTCTTTCCGAATAAATAGTCAAATGATGAAATGGAGAGGATTAGGTAACTCGGTTTTACCTCATACCCCATGAAGTACAAGCTAAACTTCATCTCGGGGAAGTCCAGCCTCTTCAGTAATCTGAAAATAATAATGTAAAACATAACAATGGCTGACCTAGAGGGATTTATTTTTACAATAACTAAAATTACTAATTATCAGAAAAGCAAACCCAAGTTTTACGATT